TCTATTTTCACTCAATTATTGAGATGATTGATGCTCATTCAGCTAATGTTTTTGAAGATTTGACTACCTATGTCATAATTGAATATGTGACATTCTTTCAGCCTAACTTATTGATCATTGGCTCATCATAAATAATCTGTCAATCAACCAATGAACCATATTATGAAATGAATTATAATTGAAAATCAGCTACATTTTCAAAAGTTGCTTTTTCCCCTAATGAAGGCATAAAATGATTTTTATAAAGCTTGTTACATTTCAATCTTCTAAAAACGACTTCTGAAAATTGATAGGGAGAAAAAATGAATGCAGAAAGGAAAATAGTCCAGATGTTTAAACAACAAATCACTATAGTTACCTTAGATCCAGTAGATAATAGAAATCTGAAAATTTTATAGAAATAAGGCTCTTCCTAAAGGAAATGTAAAATCGGAAAGAATATAAGTTTATCTCCTTGTGGCAATATCATTCCTTTACATGATATGTTTTTTGTAGAGTCTTCCCTCCAAGTATTGCTTCTCGAAACTTCATATTGTGATAATAATACTGAATCAGTAGGATAAATACTGAATGGTCCTATAATAGTAATTTGTTTTCCAATCAACTTCACCAGTCCATTGACGCTTATGAAACATACAGCTTCAATAAGACACCCATCGTCCAACATGATGACATTGTCGCCAATTTTACTTGAAACCATGAAACCATTCATCTGTAATTTTGTATGTATTGGTAGGTGCCCATATTTTCTGATGACATCAATAGGTTATACTTGAATGTCTTTCATATTTCCACTTATGTTAACAGCAGCATTCTGATCAATACCACTATTATAATCGATTTCTTTTTTCTCAACCAGCCTCCTTACCAGTTGCTGCAAGGGTAAATTAGATTTGCGTAATGTCTTTTTCATCATCTGTAAATAGTTCTCAAAACTGAAACAATTAACAGCATTCAAGGATCCAAATAATCTATCTTCCTCAGCTAAATGTGTAACAGCATGAGTATTGTATACTGCAAATTCTTTACCATAGATAGATATTGCATGTTTTACAAATATGTTCAATAGTTTACCAGCAAATTCATTGTATTTTTGATTCAGTTCTTTACTTAATAGTATGCTGATACCAAAATTCAATATCATGAAATTAGCATAGACATGATCCGGAATAACATTTCGGAGCACTACAGGGCCAACATAGAGTAAAAATTGACGCAACTCAGTTGCCTTCCATCTTTCTAGATCACGTAATGACCGTGGTTTTCTATTGAAATCAGCTGGCCACAGTTTACTGATTACTTTCATATCAGTTTCTAATTTTTACACAGTTTTTCACCAACTATGCGAAATAACCGACTACCATCTCTCCAGAGAAAAAGTAATTTTCTCATGATCCCCAGGCACACACAATGCATATAATCTATAGGGAAGGTGGTCACCATATCAATGTCTAATTTTTCTAATGGTGTAGAACCTTTGTGGTGTTCTGGGTTCTTCCTACACCTGAAATCATCATCAGTTCTAGCATTCCACTGTCCACTGAAGAATGTCATTCTTTTCTCAAAGTATTCTCCTGAAATGTTACACTTATCGCAACCATAAAAAGCATTATGGCTTTTGATGTTGTTAATAAAAGCTCGGGCAGGTGTATCACAGCAGAAGCTTAGAATTTTTACATGATATTTCATGTTATTGATGAACATTCCAGTATTGTATAAATAATTCAACTCCTCAACAAACTTTTTCAAAAACTCTTCCAGAGGAGGTTTTTTTGGTCCACAGTATGTGGCAACCGGGAACAAAGGTTTACTAGATGTATTTTCAAGTTTACAAATTATTGGCCAGAATGACAAACTGGTACTTTTATGTATTGGTAATCCGTCTATGCCAAAATGAAGTAAAAACTCATTTGAACCACTGTCAAGTTTGTTTGCAAACTGAATCAAATTTTCTTGAATTCCAACCTGTTTTTCTATTTCAGCATTAGTAGGAGTTGTTGTGTAGTATATATTTGGCAACACTGTATCAGGGCCAGAGGCATAGTTGAGTTAGTAATAAATTCAGTTGATCTTTAACTCGCGTATTATTAACATACACAACATGGCGCAGTCGGTGAAAAAGAGTACCGAAAAATAAAAAGTAACAAAAACGTAACTCAAGAGCAGTGAACGGCTGTGAAAGTCAAACACTCACGTGAAGTGAAGAATTGATTGAAAATGGGTGATTTTAGAGGAATAAGTCCAATGCCGATGACCGGCAACTTGGCGGAAAATTGGAAGATGTGGAGGCAGCGGTTTGAAAATTATTTAGTGGCTTCGGAAATGAAGAAAAAGGAACAGCCTACACAAATCGCCCAACTATTACATTACATCGGAGAGGAAGGGTTTGTCATCTATAATTCGTTCACCTTTGCAGCTGGAGAAGATACGAAATTGAATGAAATATTGAAAAAGTTCGACGATTATTTTTTGCCGAAAAAAAACTTGTCGTACGAGCGCTTCAAGTTCTTCACACGTAAACAAATGCCTGGAGAAAGTATCGAACAGTTCGTGATAGATTGAAAAATAAATCAACAAACTGTGAGTCTGGCAATTTGAAAGAAAGCCTAGTGAAGGACTTATTTACATGCGGGCTTCAAGACGTGTCTTTACGTGAGAAATTGTTGCAAGATGATGACCTCACATTAGATGAAGCAGTAAAGAAATGTATTTCGGTAGAGATGTCACGTGAACAATCATCACAAATGAGCTTGACTGCTACTACACTACCTGTCAATGCTGTTCACAAAGGATTCCAGAGTCCCAGAAGTAATGTACCATCAAAATACAGTGATTTCCGGGACACAAATTTCGGCAGAGGTCGTTATGGGCCTGTGTCTTTCCAGCCTGACTCTCAAAATCAACATAATGTATATCAACAAAATACATTTCAACAGAATGCAGTTCAACAAAGATGTAGAAGTTCATCGTGCTATCGCTGTGGAAAATCTCATCCTAGGAATAACTGTCCAGCAATGGGTAAAAGATGTCTGCACTGTGGTATTGCAAATCATTTTTCAAGTGTGTGTAATAATAAAAAAGTGTATACTGTGTCATACAGTGAAGTGGAACAAGGAGATGATGAAAATGTAGAAAATCTTTCGAATTTATTGGTAAAAGATGGAATCCAGATCAATGTGCTAGATAAACAGAGTCGGTATGTAAATCTGTTGATAAATGGTGAGTTTCACATTGATTTCAAACTCGATACAGGAGCGATGGCCAACTGTTTGTCAGTTGACGATTTTCAAATGTTGAAGATATCTGAAGAGAACTTGAACAAAACTGATATGAAACTTACGTCATATACAAATAATGTGGTGCCAGTCCTCGGAAAATGTTACCTAAATTGTTCCTACAAAAATAGTAACTATTGTTTAGAATTTTATGTTGTAAAATCAAAATCAAAATCTCTTCTTGGACTTGATTCATGCAAAAGCCTGAATTTGATCAAGAAAGTAGATTCGATAGACAGACCATCATCAAGAGAAAATTTAGATTTTGGGGAATATAATAAACTTTTAGAGCCATAATATGTAAGGTTGTTTGAAGGAATTGGTTGTTTATCTCAGAAGTATCACATATTGTTGAAAGAAAATCATAGACCAGTTGTAAATCCAACTAGAAAAGTACCTTTACCATTGCTACCACAATTGAAAAGTACATTGAAAGAATTAGAAGAAAAAAAATTATAAAAAAAAATTCTGATGGATTTCTTTCAAATTGGAACATGCCGAACTGTGTGGGAGCAATAGAGGCAAACATGTTAATATACAGGCTCCATATAAATCTGGCAGTGAATTTTACAATTACAAAAAATCTCATAGCTTAGTTTTAATGGGTGTATGTGATGCATTTCACAGGTTCACTCTAGTGGATATAGGAGCAGCTGGGGGCTTTCATGATTCAATAGTTTTTTCAGAATCAAACTTTGGACATGCTATTTTGAATAATAGAATGAATATCCCTCATCCAAAACAATTGCCAGATACGGATACTGAGTTACCTCACTTCTTTGTGGCACATGCTGCTTTTCCTCTTCACAAACATATTATGAAGCCTTACCCTGACAAAAATTTGACTCAAGAAAAAAGAATTTTCAACTATCGCTTGTCTAGAGCAAGAAGAACAATAGAAAATTCGTTTGGCATACTGGCACAGAGATGGAGAATACTCAGAAATAATATTGTTGCAGACTACAATGTTTGCAGAAGCATTGTAATGGCATGTATAGTTCTTCACAATTTTATTCTCGAAAATGAATCTACCATGGGTGATAATAAAAACGAAAATAATTTGAGTAGGAATATTATCATGGAATTGCCATGTAATAATGTGACACCAGGATCTCGGAGACAGGGAAGTATTCTAAGAAGTGTTAGAAGAGTTGGGTCCAACAATAGTGCAAAGAATATTATAGAAAACCGAAATAAACTTACACAATACTTCAATTCTCCAGAAGGAAGTGTTTCCTGGCAATTGGAATCCATTCTTGTAGGTTCTGTTCCCCCAAATTTTGAAATGGATGTGGATTAAATAAACAATCTGTTTTTTGTTATATTGTTTACATTTTGTGTTAAATTACTTTTTGAATTAAAACTACTTTAGTTTCAACAATGATGTCTTTTGATGCACTGAATAAATACTATTTCCAGGTTTCCATTCATTACCAATAGATGAGTGACTGCCATTTTCACTAATAATTATTGTCACAGAAAACTTGAACTAGAATATAAATTACAAAACACGAAATTTGGAAGCAATTATCTCATGATGAATCTTTAAAAATTCCAACAGATCAAATATTTTAAAAAACGTCCATAAAAGTATAATATATAATAAACTAAATAAAAACAATTTGTACTTCACATAATAAGATAAATAAAAAAAAATTGTACTTCACATAAGATAAATAAAAACATCAATTCTTGAAGAAAGGTATTAGAGTCTACTCATTGAACTCATTCATTGAATAACTCCAAGATTTTGCACTTTACTAGGCGCTTTTCCCTTGGATCTTCTATTTCTGCTAAATAACTACCCACCAATTTCAAGAATATTTCATCTTGAGAATTTGTCTCTTGTGGAGGCCTAGGTAGCACATTTTCATTTTTATTATGCATATATTTGCCAAATTCATTTAGTGCACCTTGGAGAGCACTACCAAGTTCAGCAATTTCATTTGTTCTTTTCTTTTTTCTCTTTTTGTCTTCCATGAATTTTGTTGAAGCTTTCTCACAGTCAGGAGCTTCTCTCACTTTCTGTTTTGTATAATTTGACCCCTGAATACCAGAACATGAAGGTTCATTTTCTATCGTTTCAAAAGTTTCTTGTAATTCAGACATCATCTCAACATCTGCTGACATGCGCATGTTCCTCTTCATTTTGAGACTCATTACAAATGAGTTGAGAGTATGAATCCCATATATCACTACCATCAACTGATCCTGTTCGTTGTTTGGGTGGGGGAGTAGCAAAATTTCCTTTGGTTCTGTAAGGAAAAGTATCAGTCACATTTGTTTCACAATTCAGAAGGGTACTAACTTTCTTGGATTGATGAAGGTACTCAGAAATTCCATGGATTCAAACAGATGCCAGTTTGATGTGTTTCCATCACTTCCAGAAGGTCTTGTTTTGGTAGTCCTCAATTCTGTGCAGAATCGGTTTCTGAGGATTATCCATATAGCACATGACGTCCAGTGAACGTCCAGTTTAGGTCCAAATAATGTCCAAAGGTCCATGAACCTAACATGGACGTTCAATGGATGTACAATTAGGGATATATTTTGTAACGTCCAGTACTGTACGCCTTATGGATGTCCATTGGGAGTAAAATATTCGACTTCACCAAAACATCCATATTCCTAGGTACCAGAACGTCCAAAAAATCAACGAAATCGGATCTAAATTGTACGTTCACGATTCGAACGTCTATGTACGATCAATGAATGAACGATTCCAGATATATTTTTTAAGTTCAAAATGGTACGTCTGATGGATGTACATGACTGGATCCAGTTTGTACGTTGACAAAATGGACATGAATGCACGTTCAGTGGATGAACGATCCTGGATATTTATTGTACGATCAGTTTCGTGCGTCCAATGATTGTCAAGTGGATGTACAATTTTCGACATTATGAAACATCATCCATATCATGGCAGTTCTGGACCGACCTAGAAGAGTACGGTAGTGATCTAAATTGTATGTTCACAAATTGAACATCTATGTACGTTCAATGAATGTACGATTCTGGATATTCATTGTACGTTCAATGTTGTACGTCTTTTGAATGTCCATTGGAAGTTCAATATTAGATATTGTGAAACTTCTACAGTAAGAAGTTTCAGGACGTCCAAGTGACGTACATTATTGGATCCAGTTTGTACGTTTACAAATGGTACGTTTTTGTACATCCTTTGTATGTTGAAAGCTGGACGCACGGTAGAGGGGATGCGAGATGGCGCTCTGATCGGAACATGAAGTGAGGAAACGGAGGATATCGATCGAGTCCAGCTCCAAAGTGAACATATTATGTAGACGGCAGACAAGCAGGTTACGCCATTTTGTGTGTTTTATACGTGTTTGTGATGAAATTTAGGATTCAGACTATTTGGAACTGAATCATCCAAAGCTTGTATGATGGTACGTAGCATATGTTCCGATATTCCTTTTCATATAACTATTTATTTCACATGATATAAATGTGCTCTGATAATGGTTTGGGGCGTTGTAGGTAATGCGGAATAGGTATTTCATGATATTCTGTGGGTAACCTATGAGCTTGTGATTTGTTAGGAAAGGACGACTTGCATGGATTTCATATGATATCAGAAATAGAGCTTTGAATTGATATAGCAGTTGAAGTTGAGCTGAATTGCTGAATATAGGACTTAGACAGTTGATTTATACACTAATCCTCGACTACAGAATACTATGAGTAATACTTTGTTTGTCTCTTTTAACAGAAAGAAGAAGCGAGGTGACTGGAGAAAATATAAATCCATAATTTTTATAAAAATATAGTGAGAAAAGCACGATATCATCTCTACTATGTTTGAGAAATCAAATCAGGGAAATATCCAGCCTCTGCCTATATTCAGAAGTCATACAATATACAAGAGACTTATAATGGCTGGGTCATCCGGAAGTTCAACGTCCAATCGGGTTACGTCCAATGGATGTCCATGTATGGACTATATGTATTGAATATATATTCATAATGTGGTTCTGAAGAGGAGTAATCATTGGGGTTCAGATAGTCACTGTATGGACGTTTATATAGAATTTGAACTGAACTGTGGTGAGTATCCAATTATACAAGTATACAATTTTATCATTCCTCTCTTCATACATAGGTAATATTATAGCTCTACTTTTTCAGTTTCATTTTTATCGAATTTTGTCCTCAAAAAATCAGGATAACTATATCTTGTCAGTTTTTTGAATTATTGCTTTTTCAGATAGTATGTTTTGAATACTCGAATCTTTCGTGAATGTCGTGAGTCGAAAAATATTTAGCCGCTAAATTATGCTGGAAAACCTATTACAGATTCTGTTTAACTCGACATCATCCTAATTATGATGGCTGAACAAGAGCAGAATGACGAAATTCATGCAATAAATTCCAAGCATATGTTGTATCTATATTGAATGATATTACACTGTACCTTACAGATATTTTTTTAATAAATAATATTTTATATGAGTATGGATTCTTTGTTTGGATATTCATTGACTGCTTTCAGTTCATGTCCATTGAACATCCGTACGTCCATTGGACGTCTCTAATGGACATCCACTGACTGCTTTCAATTTACGTCCATTGGACATCCTGAATGTACGTTCATTGAACATCCTGAATGTACGTCCACTGTACATCCTGAGTGTATGTCCATTAGACATCCTGAATGTACGTCCATTGAACATCCTCAATGTACGTCCATTGAACATCCTGAATGTACGTCCATTAGACATCCTGAATGTAAGTCCATCAGACATCCTGAATGTACGTCCATTGAACATCCTGAATGTACGTCCATAAGATGTTAAATCCAGTGAGCTGTGGACGTTTTCTGGACGTTCCAATGTACATGACTGGACGTTCAATGGACGTCCACTATGTCCATGTTGTATATCCGTTGGACATTCATTGGACGTACATGTGCTATATGGGTACCCACCTCTGCTCACAATCTTCAGCTGAAAAATAGTAGGTTTAATGTCTTGGCAATATATTCAATCTCCTTTTCGAGGAAACATTTCAAAACTTGTACCCTACATACCGTTAGTTTCTAAAATAGCTGCAATTTCTTTCCAAGCATTCTGTTTGGCAACCTTATTTCTATACAGCTTTTCGTGTTTATCATATAGCCATGGATATTGGCGAATTAAATCAATTAATGGACCATCCTCGACCATAATGATTTAAGTATTTTTATTATTATGTGAAAAAAATATATTAAAAAAAACCGGGAAAAACAATATTTTGGGGTTATCCGTACTGTCAACGATTGCGCAGTTATCCCAAAAATTTACATTTACACTAGTCAGTTGAAAGTTGGCCAACTTGAAGTTCAAGTTTAGTTTTAATTTCTCTGCATAAAATCAACCATGTCTAACAAGGGGTTCAACTTTTTGAAGTGTAAATGTAAGTTGGAGTTCAGTGTAAATTTGTGCTGCATAAATCCACCTTAACACCATCCAAACCTCTACAGGAAATATCAAATAGAGCAAGTACCTCAGGAAGTCATAAAATCACTGAAAATATTGTAATGATATTTCCCTTGGAGGCGCTTTAGAAACATCAGCAGGAAGGCAGGAGTACAACGATCATCCTGTATCACGCATCCCAGATTGCTCTCCAACCTCTCAATGATTCCTACATACACCAACATATTTCCGAACACTCAATATATGCCGCAGTGACAAAGAACGTCACAGAAGATTCTGGAATGTTCTGGAAACAATCGATGGAACAATTAGAGAGAGAGGTTTGTTCTAAGAAGCTTCTAGAACAAAAAGAAGGAGACGGAAGATCATTTCGAGAAGGTTCTCGAACCAAAGCCTGCCTGTGTTCTCATATATAAAACGGCCGAACAACTGAGTCAGTCAGTCGAACAGCGAGTGTCAGAGAGACAGTTATATACCGCGTGTTATAAATCGTTTTACATAAATAGTAGTTATAAGTTCGATATAAATTAGTGTTTCTTTAGTTTAAATAAATAAGTTCGAAAATAAATAGTGTCGTGTTCGCTTCTGCACCCGAATAACGTTACAATTGGTGTCAGAAGTGTGGGATATTCCAGTGTGAAGAGAACAGACCGTTGCAATGAAGAAACTACACGAGTTGAAAGTGGTGGACTTGAAACGCTAGTTGGAGGAGAGAGATCTCGACACAACAGGGATCAAGGCTACACTTCAGCATCGTCTCGAAGAGTATATGGTGAGCGTAGGTCAAGATCCAGAGACGTTCACCTTCGAGGAACCAGCTTCAGCAGAATCGATGTTGGCTGGGATCATGGCACAGATTTCTGCTCAGCAAGATCAGATCGCCTCTCAGATCTCAGCTCAACGGCATGAGGTATTGGCTCAGATAACAGCTCAAGTCGCGACTCAGATACAAGATCTGAAGAAAGAACTGCAGCTCGAAATAGATGAACTGAAGTCACAATCTCGCAGGAGAGCTGCGATGGAAGCGTCAGGAAATGGTCAACGACTCGTGATGGAAACAAAAATAGGGCCGGATGCAGTGGTTACTACCAATCGAGTGAAGCCGCCTACATTCAATGGAAAAACATCGTGGCCAAACTACCTGAAGCAATTCGAAGCAGCTTCCAAAGCCAATGGGTGGACATCAGAAGACAAAGTGGTAGCTCTCACAGTAGCTCTACGGGGTGATGCACTAAACATCTTGCAAGCCATTCCGGAAGATAAATCCTATAACTACGATTATCTCATCGAACGCCTCAACTTGCGCTATGGTCAAAAACATCTACAGCAAGTGTTACGATCACAAATGAAGAACCGTCGACAGGGAGACAATGAGAGCCTACAGGAATTTGAAATGGAAGTAGCTCGGTTGGTTCGGTGTGCCTACCCATCAGCTCCTGAGTATCTGATAGACTGTCTTGCTGTCCAAACGTTCCTAGATGGATTGCGCGATATGGAAATGCGGAAAGCGGTTCGGTTGGCTCGACCTAAAGACTCTCCCAGTGCTCTGGCAGCTGCGCTAGAAATCGAGGCCGCGATAGAAGCTACACGAGAAGCAACAAAATTCCAAGCCGTCGATGACAGCACGAACATAGCGGACAGTCCCAGGCAAAATCTAACTGAAGACCTTATAAACGTCATCAAGGGCCTCTTGGATGAGGAGAAGAAACCAGTTCGAGCAGCTGCAGGAAAACTAGAGCGAGATGATCCAAAAAGACCTGTTTACCGAGTGAGGACGAGCCATAAGAATGCAGATGCACTGTCCAGAAGGCCATATC